TGAACCAATCCATTGTATTTTCAATCATCTCAGATGTATGTGAAAGCTGGACAATGAATAAGGAAGGTTGGAGAAGATTTGATGCCTTTGAATTGTGGTGTTGGTGAAGAATACTGAAAATACCATGGACTATGCCTAAAGCATTTAACTACTAACCAGAAGGCTGGCAGTTCAAACCCACCAGCCACTACTCAGAAGGAAGACTGGGCAATCTACTTCCGTGGATATACCATCTTGGAAACCCAAGGAGGGGTCACTATGAGTCAAAATAGACTCAACGGCATTGAGTTCAGTTTTTTGGTTTGGTACCAGAAAAATGAACAAATCTGTCCTAGAAAAAGTGCAGCAAGAATACCCCTGGGAAGCAAGAATGGCTAAATTTTGTCTCAACTACATTGGTCATGTTGTCAGAAGGGACAATTTCCTGGAGAAGGATATCATGCTGGGTAAAGTAGAGGGTCAGCAAAGAAGGGGAAGACCCTCAATGAGATGGATTAACACAGTGGCTGCAGTGATGGGCTCAAGCACAGCAAGGTTTGTTGAGCCTGGCACAGGACCAGACAGTGTTTCATTCCTCTCTACATAGTTTTACTATGAGTTGGAGCTGACTCAACAGCACCTAACAACAACAACCTTTACAGAAGAAGACTGCACATCTTTCTCCCATGGAGTGACCAGTGGATTGAAATTGCTGACTTTCCATTTAGCAGCTGAGCCCTAAGCACTGTACAACCAGAACTCTGGTATCTCCACCCAACCTATGTTTGTAATTGATGAATGAGTATACTAGGACATGATTTGGTTGATATGTTTGTTTACAAAAAAGACAAAAATGAAATAAGTAAGGAATGGTATTCATTTGTCAAGTGTGATGCAGTTTCTTTGCTGGATTGGATAATTGTTTTGAAACACTGGAAAACTATATAGTCAGATTTTTGTACTATTCACAATTCAATAGCTATAGACACTAAATATAGTCTTCATTATTAACGTTTTCTTCAGTCTAGACAATTATCAAACAGAAAATCAAGTCAACAACCAACAGATAAAAAATCATTTACTGATTTCTATGGTGTAAATACTCCTACATGACCAATTTCAAGGTGATATAAAGTCAGTGAATCCTGAGTTGGGCAAAGACATGTTCACATTATATAGTATTTCCATCATAGAGGCAGACTATCTCTACATAACTTCAAGAACAAATGAGAGTGAAAGGCAATACCAAACCAAACTCACTGCCATTGAATTGGACCTGACTCATAACGACCCCTCCTTGGGTTTCCGAGGCATTATCTCTACAGAAGTAGATTGCCCAACCTTCCTTCTGAGGAGTGACTAGTGGGTTTGAAACTCCCACCTTCTGGTTATCAGTCAAATGCCTTAGGTGCTACAACACCAGAGCTCCTCCTATAAGTAAGAAGTGATTAGTCCTGAGTACTTATTACCTTTTTAGAAAATATTATTAATTGTAAGCTTCTCTAATTTAATTTTCAATAATAGCTCTGTCTCAAATCAACTCACAAAATTTCTGAAAATTTAACCACTGGCTCTCTCACAAGCCAGTAGAGCTGGCTCCAGACCACCACTGCCAGGCTCCCATGACTTCTGGCTCCTGAAATGGGAGGTACTGGCAGGAGCAACCGAGAAAACCCAAACCTAAACCTGTTGCAGTCAGGTCAATTCCAACTCATGGTAACCCTACATGTTATGTAGAACTTATGGAGTAGAACTGCTCCATAGGGTTTTCTTGGTCATAATCTTGTGGAAGCAGATCATCAGGCTTTTCTTCCATGGTACTTCTCAGTGGGTTTGAACTGTCAACCTTTAGTTTTGTAGATGAGGGCAAACCATGTGCTGCCCATGGAAGAGATGGGTTCTCCTTCTGCTCCCTCCTGTGCATTTCAGTTCCAGGTTCTTCCTACTCAGCCAATACTATTCCATCCTTTTTCCCCTAGGGTGCTATCAGCTTCTTGGCTTCTCACTCTCGATGGACCCTGGCTGCCTCCTCATTCCTTATCGATTCCCTTACTCTGTCAACACTTTTGTAAATAGTCCCTTCGTTGTTGTTGTTAGCTGCCTTTGAGTAGGTCCCTAACTCATGGCATTCCCATGCACAACAGGATTGGACCCTTATCCTTAGGGTTTTCACTGGCTGATTTTCAGAAGTAGATTGCCAGGCCCTTCTTCCTAGTCTGTGTTAGTCTGTAAGCTCTGCTGAAACCTATTCAGCATCCTAGCAACACACAAGCCTCAACTGAAAAACGTATGGTGGTTGAACCATGATGTTCACTCGCTGTGAATGGAATTTGGGTCCAATGTATTGAAGGCAAGAATTGTACCACTGAACCATCACTGCCGCTTAAACCCCTCACTACAACCTGTTATTCTTTGTTGCCTGCTAAACCCTGCCAGCCCAAGTAGTCCTGTGGTCATGACTGCTAATACTACTTCTAGTCCCAAATTTAAGATGATGTGTCCTTTGGCTTTGGTTCTCTGAACCTCAGTTTTGTGAGGATCATGAGATGCATCAGGATATTATTTTGAAAGACTAACCAAACAATTTTTTTTTCCCTCCAACTATAACCTGATGCCCTTTAATGTATTCCCTAACTGGTCCACTGTGTCCTGCAGCAGTTGTTCCCTCAGGGACAGGACTTGGAGCACAAGTGGGAGGAAGGTTTTTGAATGTTAAAATCCAAGGCAATGAAGGGGAATCCAGCAAAGTAAACCTGATTAGCCGCAAGCTTTGCATCCTGCTGGGAGATCCACTGGTCCCTGAGAAGTCCCTCCCAACCTGCAAAACTGTTCCTTACCCCAGCAAGTTGTGGCAGCAGAGTCCTTGGGGCTCAGGGAGATGAGAACAAACATCTGCAGGCTGATTCAGGCAGCTGAGTGACCCACGCCACGGTGCCTGGTGGCCCAGCATGCCTTGGTGGGCTGTCCAGACAGGACTGGATGATGGCACCAAGGCAGCCCATCATCCATCAACCAAGGCCTGACAAGCAAGGGCCAGGCAATGATGTGCACCTTGGTGAATGGGAGAAGGACAGATAATGATACCCTACCACCTTAACACACCCCTGACTTGGCTTCAGGAGCTTGGCAGCTTAGTGGTTAAAAGCATTTGGCTGCTAGCCAAAAGGTCTGTGGTTCAAACCCATCAGTCACTCAATGGCAGAAAGATAATGCAGCCTGATTCCATAAAGATTTACAGCCTTGGAAACCCTATGTGGCAGTTCTACTCTGTCCTAAGAGTCAGAACTGAGCAGATGGCAGTGGGTTTGCTTTTGTTTCTTGACAGCCTCACTGGAAAGAAGAGGGGATTCTGAATCGACAGGTATTAGTTCCCAACACCTCCAGAATGGGATCTCTGATATGAAAGTTAGTAGACCTAGAAAAGCAAAGGCCTCTCCTGCCCTCATTTGAGGCTGGGGACTCACACCTACCACAAGAAGGGGCACTATAACTTTCTCAAGGGATTTTCCCTGAATTGACTTACTGATCAACCAAGATTTCCACTCTGAAAAATACACTGACTGATGGCTCTGCCATGAGGAGTTCTCTAGGACCCCCTGGTCACTGCTCCCCACCAGTCCAAGGCTACACCAGCCAAAGGCCACCTGTGCTTGTTCTTGTGCCCTTTAATGCTAATTTCAGTTATTGTCATCCATAAGCTAATAACTGTCATAAAAACCAATGGAATACAAATGTGAGAATAGAGCTGAGGTTTCTCCAACAATTGTTGAGTGCTTTCATAAAGGCAGAGTCCCTGAAAGACATGTTGCTGGAAGAAGAGATTCTGGCCACATTAGGCACAGGAGAGACAACTGTAAACTTTTGAAGAAATGTTACAACTCCAGAAAAATTTTGCAATCAGAGCACCTCAACGGTCTCTTTAAATTCTCACTTCATTTGAAAGAAATTGATATTGGAAGTGTATAGTACTGAAAAGTGTAGACTATGCTCTATGTTGGCAATCTATATAAGGAGGAAAACAGGGAACTCTGAACAGTTGACCTATACTCAAAAATTTTTGTCTCTACATCAAAACAATGACAAATGGATGTGTATTTATATTTTAAGTTAAAGCACAATATTTAATGCCCATATATGTGTGTGTTATATGTGGATAAAAAACCAAAAACCCAAACCATTGTTATCAAATCTATTCCAACTCATAGCAACCCTATAGGTTTTCCAAGGCTGTAAATCTTTATGGAAGCAGACTGCCTCATCTTTCTCCTGTGGATCAGCTGGGGGATTTGAACTCCTGATCTTTTGGTTAGCAGTCAAATGCTTTAACCACTGTGCCACCAGAGCTCCCTTTATATGTGCATATTATACATAATTCATATAATTCCTTGTATATGTATATATAATTGATTGTTTATATATGATTCATTTTATATGCATATACAATTCACTATATGTATGTGTGTGTGTGTGTGTGTGTATATATATATGTATGTATATATAATTCACTGTATACGTATATATAATTTAAAAGAATTAATAAACCTCCAATCTCTGCAGCTTTGGGTAAGAAGTCTCCTGTAAATGATCAGCATCACACCAACTCAGCATCTCTTATTTGGTGGTGACTTTTATTTCCACCATTAATGTCAGAACACACAGGTCCCATAGGTGGCAGCCCTTCCTGGGGCCCAGCTGGCTACCTATGGGTAGGTTGTATACTAAAGCGCAACCAAGACTCGGTGGTGCCTGGCCCTTCAGCCGGACGGCCTTGCAGTGCCGCGGTCAGTCCGGCAGGGGGCGCTGTCCGGCCGCAAGGGCCGCGCCGGGTCGGGCTCTGATTGGCTGGAGGCCGTGGCCCGCGCCCACTCACGTCCGCCGCGGCCACTAAGCGCAGCAACTTGCTTGGTCCGGCCCCAGTGTGCGGGACTGCGGGACTGTAGCCGGTCAACAGCGGCGCGGTGGAGGGGACAAGACCAGGGCAGAAGGGACCGGCCGGCTGCGAGAACCCCACACTCAGCAAGATGCTGTCCTGGCGGCTGCACACGGGCTCGGAGAAGGCTGAACTACAGGAGCTCAATGCCAGGCTCTACGACTACGTGTGCCGGGTGCGGGAGCTGGAGCGCGAGAACTTGTTCTTAGAGGAGGAACTGCGCTGCCGGCACGGCCAGGAGGACCTGTGGGCCGAGGGCCAGGCCCGCTTCGCTGAGGAGGCGCGAGCTTTGCGGCAGCAACTGGATGAGTTGAGCTGGGACAAGGCGCTGGCTGAAGGCGAGCGCGACATGCTGCGACGCGAGCTGCGGGAGTTGCAGCAGCTGGGCGCTGAGGCGCGCGCTGCCCGCGGCCGCCTGGATGCCGAGCTGGGCGCTCAGCGGCGCGAGCTACAGGAGGCGCTGGGTGCCCGCGCCGCCCTCGAGGAGCTGTTGGGCCGACTTCAGGCAGAGCGCCGAGGACTCGACGCGGCCCACGAACGCGACGTGCGGGAGCTGCGCGCGCGTGCAGCCAGCCTGACCATGAGCTATCGCGCCCGCGCCGGCCCCGCCGCGACCCCGCCGCGCCTGCTGGAGGTGCACGACAGCTACGCACTGCTGGTGGCGGAATCCTGGCGGGAGACAGTGCAGCTGTACGAGGATGAGGTGCGAGAGCTGGAGCAGGTGCTGCGGTGCGGCCTGGAGAGCCGTCGGGAGGCGGAGGAGGAGATGCGGCTGTGCGCACAGGAGGCAGAGGTGCTGCAGCGCGAGGCTCACGAGCTGGAGCAGCTGCGCCTACGGCTGGAAGAAGAGCTGCTGCGGATGCGAGAGGCTTACGAGCTGCAGGTCGAGGAGCGGCAGGTCCGTAAACGCGGACGGCCAGCTCTCTGTGCGGGAGGAAGCGGCGGGGTTTACTGGGCCACAGCGCGTTAGCCCCGGCGGGCCTTGTCTATGGATAGGTCCAGCCCTGAGGGTACCTGAATGGCCTTGTTCTGTAGCGGGGTCTCAGCGTCCCCGCACCTCTGCAGTTCTGGAAGAAGAGTGCTATTGGTTAGTCCATCAACTCAGCAGGCCATTGCCTGTGGCAGGTCCTAGGGAATAGCGTCCCCCTCATCTTGTCAACTTCTTTAGACCTTTACCTGCCTAGGCACATCCTGACAAACAACCCCGTCAGCTCCACTTTTTTCCCCTCCATTTCCTGTACTTCCTAGGCCTCTCACTCTCACTGCCTGTGGAGTCGGATCCGACTCATAGCGACCCCTCCTTGGGTTTCTGGGGCAGTATCACTAAGGAAGTAGATTGCCCAACCTGCTTTCCAAGGAGTGGCTGGTGGGTTTGAACCGCCAGCCTTCTGGTTAGTAGTCAAATGCCTTAGGTGCTAGACTACCTAGTGCACATAAGAAACCACGGAAGAAGCTTCTTTGGCTTCCAAAAGTGGCAAATAATTTCTCATCTGATAGGTTCTAGTGTTTGGAGGCAAGGCCTTAACCCTGAGCCATTCAAAATGGCAACTGCATTGGCGATAAGCCTCCCCTGGGGAAAATGTAAATTGTTTTCTACAGTCGTTTTATTTTCCAGCTAGAATTATTTCCTCCCTGGAGGGAGCTGGTTGTGGTAGTGACTACCTTGTTTGTTGTTGGGTGAGGGCAACAGCCATGATGCAGACTAGAGTTTAGATATTTTTCTCACATGAGACTCAAATGTCCGATTTTTGGTATGTAAAAGTTGAAAATAAGTTGCTTGTTGCAGGATGTTATTACAAGTGCAAAATAGTATGAACAGAGAAGCGAATCTTCCAACTGGGGACACCTGTGCTGATTTATTGTTTGTATATCCAGTCCAGTCCTAGAGTTTGGCCTGGGTCCTGTCAGGCCTCAGCCAGAATTGGAAATATTCCCAAATCACACTATTAGTAGTTTGGGGCACTCCAGTCTGCAATACCATCTGCATAACTTCAGAAATACTTTACGAAAACAGTTTGCAGGTGAAGATTTATGATAGAGTGATATTGTGATTTCTAAAAAATTCGAAGTTAAGGTAGTGTGGCAGTTGTGGCATGGGTGACTGGTATGGATAATTTGTATCCACAATTAATCAGCAACCATCTGTTGGTCATCTCTGGGTCTCTAGCAAGGAGCTCTGGTGGTACAGTGGTTAAGGCATTTGGCTACTGACCAAGAGGCTGGCTGTTCAACCCACCAATGGCTCTGAGAGAGAAAGATGAGGCTGTCTGCTTCCTTAAAGATTTACAGCCTTTGAAACCTTATGGGGCAGTTCTGTTCTCCCCTATAGGACTGCTATGAGTCAGAATCTACTTGATGACAGGGGATGCGTGGGGGGCCCTTAGCACTGTGGTGGGGTTTCAGTATTGAACAGCTGAAGTCTACATGGGAAGTTCTATGAAGTACCAAAATGAAATGAAATGAGTCCTGTGCTTTCCATGTTCTTTTAAAAATTAGTCTTCTACTTTCCATGTTCTTTTAAAATGCTTTCTCCAAGGTTGCACCATGACCCAGGACTCCACCCTCAGGTTTCCTGTCCATGATACCTCTCTCTTATTAGACTTTGCTTTTTTTCCTCCTAAAAGTAAAGAGCAAAGACAGTGTGTTGGTAAGGACTTGAATTTCTTTTATTTGGTTCCAATTTGTGGAAGTTTTAATGCACTGAATATGTTTCTAATTACTACCTTATCCATATCCTCAGTCTTTACCAGATAGCTTAATAGCTTAAAACAATCACATTTCAAATTGCCTTCCAAAAGATTCAGCACTAAGCATTGTTGTTGTGTGCCATGGAGTTGCACCCGACTCATAGCAACCCCTCCTTGGGTTTCCAAGGCAGTATCACTACAGAAGTAGATTGCCCAACCTTCCTTCCGAGGAGTG